AGCTTTATAACTATTTTGAAGATAACAATTATGTCTACCTGGTCTTAGAAATGTGTCATAATGGAGAAAAGAACAGGTATCTAAAGAACAGAATGAAGCCTTTCTCTGAAAATGAAGGTAAGTTTCCTTTTTCAATAAACATCCTACTTCTCAAAGTATGGTTTTAAAGAATGTGCTACTTTGTAATATTTAGTAAAGTTATTTCAATTATTACTTTAGGCATTACCTCCAAAAAATCTATTACTTGTTAGGAATTACGATGTTACAGAAATAAGAAATATGTTATCCTTCTATCCAAAAACATTTTAATTAAGTCAGTGGTAGCAGTTTGCTGTTTACCTTTTAAATCTAGTAAGCTTTTAAAATGCCACTGTTGACTGTAGTCCTTAATTCAACACACATAACTATTGAAAACATTTACTGTAGAAAATGTGAAAGCTATAAGTAATGAGACCAAACAGTATGGAGTTATCCACACCCTTTGTATCCTACTGACTCAATTTGAAGTAGATTATAGACATCTTTTTATCTATGATATTTATATACACACACACATAATAGGAACTTTTGAAAAAATATAACCATAAAATCATTATCATACCTAAGTATACCTTACTATGAAATACAAAATCAGTTTCAAACTTCCCGTACCTTCAAATTTTTAAAGAGGATATTTAAACCAAATAAAGTCTGTATTGTCCAACTAAGTTATGTTCCCCTTTTGGCTAAGACTGTAGATAGCTAAGAAAGATGGGTCCTGATGGGCTTTTTGTACATTTAAATGTATCAGAGAATAACTTGATCATATGCATTCAATTATAGAAATGTTTGTATCTTTTGTCACAGTTCCATTATTAGAAGTATATTCTGAGGAAGTATATACACCTGGAAAAAATACCACCTGGAAAAAAAATCCGTACATATATTGATAACTATTCATCTTTCAGAATTTTTTCTATAAAAGTCCTTAGTAGTATTAAACAAGAAAATAAGGGATATAAAGGAAGAAAAATGATCAGTTAATTCCCAATGAAGTTAAGAAACAAAGATAGGAAAATATTTATATGACTAATGGTCAGGGGCTGTAACACAGTGGCAGAGTGCCTTCTTGGCACGTAGAAGACTCTGGGTTCAAGCCACAGCACCTCCAGAAAGAAAAAAAATGTATAGTCATGTAGACATTTTTTGTAACTAGTCATATGTATAGTCAATTTTTGCATATAATCATATATGTGTATATATGATTGGAAATTTTATATAAAAATACAAGACGAATAAAAAGAACGGATAATGAAATAAGTAGAAAAGGGATATAAGAAGCTAATACACAAAAAAGAGTATAAATAACCAATAAATACATGAAAAGACGTTCAAACTTAATCATAATCTGAGGACGCCCAACTGTTTTGTTGTTTTTTTTGGCGGAACTGGGGATTGAACTCAGGCCCTTGTGCTTGGCAGGGAAGTGCTTATTCCACTGAGCCCATCTCTCTGGCCCCCAGAGTTATGAAGTACCATTTTTTTAACTCATCAATTGGAGGCTACCTAATATATTTGTAAGAATGTGCTTGAAAATGAAACCTATTTAAGAATAACTTGGCAAAATATAAAAGTAATGAATTTTCCTAAATTTCAACCCAGTGATTCTGTATCTTGAATGTATTATAGAAAAACCCCCATAAGAATGTTTATGGTATTATTTTTTATAGGCTAGAAAAATTAGAAATGAATCTATGCATTAACAGCAATTAAGTAAAGTTCACTGGTACTGGCACAGAAAATTTGTTTTGTGGGGAGAGGTTGAGACAGTGTGTCTCTGTGAAATTCAGGCCAGCCTTGAACTTGAAGCAATCCTCACATTTCAGCCTCCCCAGTACTGGGATTACATGCGTGTACCATGATGCCTGGCTGAAATGTTTATAAGAAACATTGTAAAGTGGAGTTAAGTAGTGAAATTATATATTTTGATTCAAATTTATGATTAAAAAATACTTATTAAAATTTGCCAGCCAGGGAAATGGCTCAGTAGAATTAGCATTTCCCTGGCAAGTGCAGGGGCCTGAGTTCAATCCCCGGTTCCGCAAAAAAAAAATAAATAAATAAAATAAAATTTGCCTATAAATTCAAATGTATGTAAACATGCAGAAGAAAAATGTAAAAGAATATATAGAAATTATTCCCAGTTAATATTATCTGGGAGAGTTTAGGAGGCATCAGAGGCGCTGCAGCTTTGTTTTTATTTGAGTTTTTTTTTTAACAATTAGTCTATATTTATAAATTGCTTGTGCAGCTAAGAATAATTACTTTGTTGATTATTATAAACTTGTGGTTATCCTTTACTATGCCTAATTGCTAATAAAATTTAGCTTCTCTTAACTCTATGTAGAAAGCTCACTAGTTTATTATATAACCAGAGGGATATTATAGTTTGTAAATCCAAGTTCTAAGCTAGTATACAGTATTTTGGCATGTGTACTGGAGTTTCATAATGTATTCAAAACATTGACTCAGATTTTCTTAGTTGTAAATTCTCTTTTTTGTGTCCTCATAGCTCGACATTTCATGCACCAGATCATCACAGGATTATTGTATCTTCATTCTCATGGTATATTACACCGGGACCTCACACTTTCTAATCTCTTACTTACTCATAATATGAATATCAAGATTGCTGATTTTGGGCTGGCAACTCAGTTGCAAATGCCACATGAAAAGCACTATACATTATGTGGTACTCCTAATTACATTTCACCAGAAATTGCAAC